GAGCAGGTCTATGCCAAACCTGTGGAATGCTTAGTGCAGGAGCATGTACAACTGCAGGGTTTCTGCCCAGGTGCCTGTTAGCAATGAGCCCTTGGACGCTGTTCCTGGCTTCGCACACGCTAAAGCAGTTTGGTCTGACATGATTTTTAAACAGAGAAAAAAGACTTTTTTCTTTTTCCCCAACAATGAAAAAGGGAGGTGAAAACTAAAATTCCAGCACATTAGTGAAATTGGCTGTAATTACTAGTCTGGCCGATTCAGGACATGTAGGAGAGGTGCTTGTCTGGTTCCTGCTCGGAGAGAGATTTTCATTTTGTGCCAAGCCCTCCTCAGGCTCCACTGCACAGGAATGAGCTGCACAGCAGGGACACGGAGGCAAGGAGAGGCCAAGGTTCCTCCATGCTACCCTGCTTTTCCTGGGCTTTCCCGGGCTCTCCCAATCCCTTGGGAGGCCAATGGAGGATCCAATCCAGTTCAATGCAGAGCTCTTAGCACTTGAGCTGCCAAAATCACCTCTTTAAAAGATAACCGCAAGGCTACTGTTTGATGGGAAATGGGGGGAAAAATGAATGTGCTAATTAATCAGTCCATGTAATAATTTATTTGGGTTTATCATGGGGCTGACTGCAATTCTGCTTGCAAATTAATATTCTGTTTTTTGTTGAATTTACTTGCAGGCTTGTGAAGTACTGTGAGCAGTTCCTCTCCAATGACCCTTTCCTGTCGGGATGTCTCCCCAGCAACCCCTGGATAACAGATGATCCCGAGTTCTGGGACCTCAATGCAAAGCTGTGTGTATTTTTATTCTCTCCCCTTCTCGTGTTTTATGCAGAACTTTATACTGATAGAAATGAGAAAGGGGAAGCACGGATCTTGCCACAATACCCAGCTGCTGATCACGAGTCGGGAAGCATTCCCCTTTTGGCTTGGCTTGTCTGTGCCAAGGAAATACTGTCTTGGGAATGCTTCCTGCTGGATTTACAACATTGTCCCCTTCCTCTTGAAGTGAAGGTTTCCTTAATATTATGGAAATTCACAAGCTCATTGTGGGTTTACACACTTGGCAGTTGCTGAGTGGGCCCAATCCTCACCTAGGATGAGTGCAGTTGGCCCTTACTGGCACAGGGGTAGAATATGACCAGTAATACTGCGATGTAGCTACTTGGCTTATCTTTAACCTTATTAATTCATGCACTGCCAATGGTATAGCAGTGCAGAGCTGGCCCTAAGTACGCATGCAGAGGTGAGGTTCAGATGTGTATCGACTGTCCATGCCCTCTGCAAGGTCTCTCTCGGGTCTCTGCTCTGGTATGTGCTAACTATACAAGGGCATCTCTGGGATAAATGTGTACAGCCTGTTAGTGACTCTCCTGGGAGTTAGTGACAGTGCCCTGTCAGGCAGCCCTGAAGGATGTTGCCAGCACAGAGTGCCTTTATGAGGAGCTAAGCCCAGGGCTACAACCACTGCTGCCTCCAGACTGGTGCTGAGTCAGACCTGCAAAGCTGGGTGAGCGTAGCAAGAGCAGTGCAGGCACAAGGCAAACCTTGATCTCACCATGTACCAAACTCCTTAATTATCACTTAGTAGGCTGGGTTCAGGAGCTTATTACAGCATTCTGGGAAACAGCACAGAAATCTCCTGGCATCCTGGTTGTAATTAACACATCAATTAGATGGTCCATGTGAAATGGGCAGTGCTGTTTGTGTCAAACCTCTGCAGAGTGGAAATCCCCACCCGAATGCGTGTGGAGCGATGGGCCCTCAACTTCAGCGAGCTGATAAGAGACCCCAAAGGTCGGCAGAACTTCCAGCTCTTCCTGAAGAAGGAATTCAGTGGTGAGTCCATGTGTCCCTTCCCTCTGTCTAGGAGGCACTGAAGGGCCCTGCACAGCTCAGAGCAGCAGTGGAAAATCCACCTCTGCGATAGGTACCGCAGGCTGAGGTGCTGGCAAGATCACAAAGCAAAGGGAGCAGAACGATTTAGAGAATGATTCTGGAGAATGATTTGGCTGTGCAGGCAGTGCCTGCAATACCACCTAGTGGCAAAGGCCACAAAATACAGCAGTGTGCACAGGGAATGCTCCCAGAGAGCTGGATCTGTGGCTGGATTTATATGCTCTGCAGGTGTCTCTTGCCCCTAAGCAGAGAGCAGCAGAAGGCTGCTCCTTCCTTCAGTCCCAAGGAGATCTCCAGGGTCAATGTGACAAGTGGAGATGCTTGGAGTTGGAGTCAACACACACCAAATAAAAGAAATTCAGTTTTAGAATTTAAAAAATGCAAAGGAGTTTTCCTCAATCTTGCTCTCTCCTAACTGAGTCCTTGTTGTGCAGGAGAGAATTTGAGTTTCTGGGAAGCCTGTGAAGATCTCAAGTATGGAGACCAATCCAAAGTCAAAGAAAAAGCAGAAGAAATTTACCAGTATGAAAATCTTTAATTCTTAAACTCATTATAACAAGCCCCATTGCCTCCTTTGTACATCACCACTCCCAAGATAATTTATTCCCAAGTTTTTTCTTTGTAAGCCGCCAAGTGTGGGTTGTGCTATGTCCTCATGTAGTAAAGAAACATTTTAAAGATTAAAGCATAAACACTTTTTTGTTATATAAACTTCTTTATTCTTTTTGTCCACTGTTATACTTAAATCTTGTAAAGGAGAGAAGTTGCTTAGATTGTAGTTTAAATACCAGAGTGGAATACCAAAGATCTGGGGACTGCCACAGGCAAACCATAAGTGGATAAGTACAGGTAATTTAAGGAATCATTCATGTATCATTGGGATCTACCTTGGGGCAGGATTACTGAAGAGCAGCTAATACATGACATCGAGTGTGAGAAGTCTAAGAATTATCCTCTGCCCAAGCTTCCTATAGATGAGAGGATGATTAGAGATGATTAGTTCATGGAGGTACTTCAGAGCAGGCACTGTATAAGGGCACTGAAGAGACTCATCTGGCCACTAGTGGGTCCCAACATGGGTATATTGTGTCACACTGCTGAAGGAAGTGACTGCGTGTCATTCCTCAGCTCCCTCTGTCCAAGAGATGATGGACAGCCCTAGGCTACGGTGGCCAGTCCCAGCTGGGAGTTGAAAGGACTTCTTGTTTGTCCCATAGACAAAAGGGTCTCTAGGAGTTCTCCCTTTAACTGTCACATTGTTTCCTCTTCCTTGCAGGCTCTTCCTGGCTCCAGGAGCAAGGCGCTGGATTAACATCGATGGCACCACAATGGGCATCACTGTCAGAGGTCTCAAGCACCCTCATCGTTATGTTTTAGATGCTGCTCAGACCCATATTTACATGCTGATGAAAAAGGTCTGTTAGTTTCCAAAGTCTAAGGGGGATTCCATGTTGTTGGGGCCTTCCCAGGGCTGTGTGAGCTGTCAGTGTTGCTTGCAAGTGGCCTTTGTTTGAAAATCCCTGAAATTTGTTGACTTGAGCGAGATCTGGTTCAGGCCTTTGTACTTTATTGCTTCTCCTTCCAGTTTCTCCTAACCAGCATGCCCCAAGGTAATGAAGTTTAGCTGTGTGCTCAAAGTCTTGCCTTCTTGATACCAACTGGGTCACCAGCTTATCCATGTCTTGAACAAATCTTATAACTTCCTGGATATAAAACTGAGATGTTGCTGCTTTTCTACCCCCAGGATTGGTCTGAGACTAACTCAGTGTTCATGCAGCACCCGAAAGTGTGTTATACTTTTGTAGTATCAGTGATTTTTTTTTTCCTGTATAGCAGCAGCAGTGCTCTCCTCTAAGGAGTGTTTTGTATACATCCTAAGCACCAGTCTGAAGGCTACATCCAGTATCCCAGTGTTGGGATGCTTGTTGCACGACTGTCCTTCAGCAGTGGTTGGGAAGATTAGTAGAAACTGCTATACCAAAAAGAATTTTGTACCAAGAACATAACAGGATATGGCTCCTCTATGGTCTTAGAAATAAGTTTGTTGAGTGTTTTCACAGTTCACTATGGTTTTGTTGATGGACCCTTTTAGGTCTGACTGGTTCAGCCTGGGGACTGATATTTTTAGCAAACAATGTCATGGTTTTCATTAAGTCATCAGATCACAAATAACTTGTGAATCCTCCTTACGAGTGCTATAAAACACACTCAGGAAGGAGCAGTGTGGCCAGAGGAGCAGCTGGTGTCAACTGATGCTGAAAGCAAAAAAACTCTTCTGATTTGAGCCACTTGGTGAAAGGTTCAGCTCCTGAAATATAAATACTTCACCTTGCAGTGACACTGAGACACCTCTGATCTGGACTTGTCTGAGTCCAGACCTTTTGGTCTGGGTCTTTCCTGGAAAGCTTTATCATGAGATTAAAAAAAAATAAATGTGCATTAGGATTGCATTAGTTTCTTGGAACTGGATAGTCTCACCCAGCAGCCCTGGCTCCAGAGCAGCTGTACTTGGTGGTGATTTTTAATAAAGGTATTTGCAGCCTGTGACTACCCTTTTTCCCTTTTCTCCTAGTAGGACTCCTATGGCCGCTATTTAAAGTCTCCAATATACAAGGAAATGCTGGCCAAGGCCATTGTGCCCCAGGAGACGGTCAAAAAAAGGCAAGTGAAATTGGATTTAATTGTAGCAAGGATGGAAACAGCTTAAGTTGCAGAAGAGTTGCTATGACCTAGGTGTTAGTTAAAACAAATTTTTCACTAAGAAGATGCTTTGAGACGGATTACACTGTTTATAAGCCCATTGGAACTGATTTGAAGGCAGTCAGAATACGAGAACACTTGACAATTGCTTGGCTACTTGGTCTGCAATTTTTTTTTTTTTTTTGAATGAATCATTGCTCCTTTCCTGAGAAGAATAAGAGTAGTGTGTAGTGGGTATGGGAGAACCTTCTACCACACAACCTTGGCTTCTAGGGTAGAGGCAGAGCCACTGCAGTGTTCTCCATCTATTCTGCTCAGCTCTGCCTGGACAAAGCTGTTCACCCCCTGGGAAGTGATGGTGAAAAGCAGCCAAATTGGAACAAACAGTATCTTGCATGTGAGTGACTGCTGGCACAAGGTAGAAGGTCTGAAAAGGAACAGGCTTGAAAGGGCTTTTCCAGACTAAGATGAGGCTTGCATAGCAAATTTAGGCCATTTGAACCGCAGTTGCTTCGTGAAGCTGAATGTGCAGTGTCAGAGCCGAGCTGGGTGGAGTGCTTCTCTCTGTTCCTCTTCCACTTTTTTAACCTAGCAAGCAAGAAAGAGGAATCGTGGACTTTCACACTTTGGCTTCATCCATTTCAAGTCAGTGGAAAATAAACCTCCTGATGCCTTGTCAGGGGTTGGCTGCTTTTTCCCTGAGCTGCGCATCACAAGGCCGCTGGCAGATGGTGGCAGTTCCCTGGTGCTGCTTTCTGTGTCTGCAGCTGATCTCCCGTTCTCAAGGCGGCACGGGCACCACCGCCATGCCCGGGCCAAAGAAGCACAGACACCAATATGGGGATGCCTCAAATGGCGTTTATTGCTACGTATCAGCGTCTTTTATGCTCGTGCTCGATGCAGAAGGGCTGCGCGTTAACCAATAGCGTGCGTGGCTTACATACTTCGCCTTATATGGGCTATGCCTGTTTACTCCTGCCTTTCTGTGCATCGCGAGATCTTCCGAGCGCCAGGCCCTGTCTTTTAGCCTAAGTATGGCCAACCTCAATCTGGTTTGCCCTCTCCCACACCTGGTGACTCCCTTTGTGTTTGCCGGTGTCTCCCCTGGGAATACAGTACTTGCCATTCTGCTTAGGGTAAAGCTCTTGTACCTCATCCAAAATTAACGCGTGTTTTCGCCACTGCTGGGAGTATTTTCCTGAAGTGGAGGGTGGGAATTTTTTCAGGTATCACAGAGATCAGATCCCCACCCATCCTGCTCCTTATCTTGAGCTTACTGAGGACAACAGGAATAAAAGATTTCACTGTTCACAGCTGATCAGGCTCTCAGTCTTGCCCACAAATGCAGGCAACAAAGGGAGCCCAGGACAAGGCTTTTTTTTTTTTTTTTTTAAGCAGTTCCACAGCTGATGCGTGATACTGAGTCCTGCTTGAAACCACCTAGTCTGTACTTGCACTTCCCTGTTGGTTTGGTGGCGGTGGCATGTTCATCTCCATCTGAGCATGCCCTTCTGTTAATGGGCTGCTGCAGGTCTTGCTGGCCTTGCTCTGGGGGGGAGAAGTTTTGAGACAGCCAAGTCAGCCCAAATGCCAAGTTACACCTCTGTATTTCATGTGTAAGGTGCTTTTCTTCCCCCCAGGTCAGGCTTTAGCAGGTGCTGAGGCAGGTGCCCTCCCCATGCACAACCTCAGGGATTTAACTGGACAGGGATGTTTTTCTAATTGATGTTTCTGCTCTGCCCGGGGCCATCTGGATGCTTTGGGATTTCAGGACATTCTCGTTGCTTAGGGAGCAACAGTGTGAGGCTGTGATGCCCTCCTGCCCCTCGGTAACTCACTGCTTCTCTCTTTCACTCCCTGCCCAGCTCCAGTTTCTTATTTGGACGGCGCCACCTCCGCTCCAGCCCTAGCCCCATCATCCTGAGGAAGCTGGAGGAAGAGGCCAAAGCCAGAGAAGCTGCCACGACTGTGGACATCACACAGGTTATGAGCAAGCTGGACCGCAGGAGCCAGCTCAAAAAGGATCCTCCCAAGTAGGCTCTGAGCCCCGCAGGGCACAGCCCAGGGAAAAGACAAGCTGAGGCTGCTGTTGAGCTTCGTCTCCCCTTCCTGAAGGTGTCAGTGCTGCTTTACGTTTGCCAGGCCCGCTCTGCCAGCAGCCGGCTCGCTGCCAGCTCCGTGCTCCCTGCGCCGCTTCCTGAGTACCGCAGGCATGGAAGTGCTGCTGGCCGGGCGGGAGCCGCGGTGCGGGGCCAGCTCCCATCCCCACATACTCCAGAGTGGGATGTTTTCTGGCAGCCCATGAGTCCCCAGGATGGCCAGGCATCTCCCCGCCTTTTGCTTTGCTGCTGGCAGTCAGGAGCTGGGGTGGCACGAGGCAGAATAAGGCTCTGTTCCTCCTGCTGTCCAGTCCTTTGGGTTGAATAGGGTTTATCCAGAGCAGAGGCGGATGCTCCCACTGGGAACAGAGTGCGGCAGCCCACCTTGGAGTGTGACAGTGGGTGCACATCCCCTAAACCATGTGGAAGAGTCGGACAACCATTGGGCAGACTTCCCATGAGAACAACACAATGAGGGCTCCCAAAGGTTTAGGTGACCCTCAATTTTAATGATTGTCCCAAGTCCCCTGTTCCACGGGGAGGCGATGAGTGAAAGCATCAGGTCTCTCCCTGTTACCCTTCCTCACGATGACCTGGCGTGCAGGCTTAGAGAGCAGTCTCTTGCAGGAGCCTGCAGAAGGGCTTCAGGGATGCAGCCAAGGCTTTGCGTTTCTTCTACCAAATCCTTTCTGGCTCATCTTGTCTTTTTCCTGCTCTTCTGTTTTATGTTGCTTAAAAAAAAAAAAAACTAACATAATGTAGTTCCAGTTGCCACTGGTTTGTAGCCCAGAGGCAAGGAAGAACCAGGATGGAAGCATTAATAGCTGATTTCAGCTTTAAGTAGTGGTTTTTCTCTTTTGCTCTTTCGAATGAGGAAACCTGAACAACTCGTTTAGTGTTAAAGAACTTGGGGAGATCCCAGGCTTTGCTAGGAAGCCCCTGTGTGTCTGCACCAGAAGTGAGAAGATTCTCACAAAGCCCAATAAAAGGAGTGGGGAGGCAGAAAAGCTTTCTTGTTCAACAGAATTTAGAGGAAGCAGAGGGACTGGCTGGGAAACCCCAAGGGACAGGAAACCTGTTGAGTCCTTCTGTTTGCGTTTTGTTCATCATTCCTACTGGGTTGATTTTGCAGCAAATGGGAGGTACAGAAAGCTGGATGCTTGGGAGCTGTTGAGTATCAGGGCATTCAGCACCAGTCTCTCACTAACATGGAAATAGCAGAGCAATGTAGGTCCCTAACAGCAGTTCTTGCCGTCCCTGTGGATATTAATCCTGATTCTGTCTCTTATCTGGTCTGAGCTGGTATCACTGTAAAACCTTCTTCGCTTTATCGCTGAGCTAAGGTGACTTTTGTAACCTCTTTTAACCTAATGATGATAAATCTTAGAGGAACTGAAACCATGTTGTATGGGATTTTGACTTGGTTGTCAAGGCCTGCTTGCTGTGTCCCTGCTCTTGTTCCCAATGGAAGCAATGGCAAATTTTTGCAATGCCATAAAGGGAAGCAGGCTCGGACTGTAAATTTTCTTATTTCTGCTTGTAACTGCAAGACTGACTTATGTGAGGTACTGAGCACTGCAGCCTACCTAGACATGAGGGCTCTGAAGGACCTTGGAAACATGTGTCAGGGTTTTGGGCTGGCCCAAAGCTATTTGAGGAGCTGTACCGTCTCCTCAGAACTTGTATAGGAGGGAACACTGGGCAGACTGGGTTGCTAGTGTGTAATAACACGTGGAAGATCAAGGCAGGATATAAATAAATAACCTGTGTGTTCCAGTCAATTGCTCCAATTCCACTTCTCTTCTTTGTTGTTATTTCTATCCACTTCCCCCTCCCCTTTTTTCTATCATCTCAGCTTTGCATAGTTGTCCTATTTATGGGGGTTAATGCAGCATGCTCTGGAGTCTCTGTGCTTGTGAAAGACTGGGTCTGCCCTTGCTGGCTCTGTTGTGCTTATAGGCTAAACAAGTTGGTGTGACCCAGTGTAGCAGCCCTCGCTGCTCCTTCCCCCTGAGAAGGAAGGTTGCATGGTACAAAGTGTGACCACGGTACAAATTGAACTGAACTTTGTGTCAGCCAAGAAATGGTTTGTTGCCATTGAAAATTGGAGCAATATGTTTCATTTCTTGGCCATTGCTTCCATGCATTCATCTGTCTAATAAAAATAAATGGAGAAAATGAAGAAAAAAGAACCGGGTTTATCCTTTGTGTTGTCTCAGTGTGTTCATCCCTCACTGTGTCATCTCTTCACCATGCACACATGTATTTCCTGTTTGTGCCTTTTTGGACACTGGGATTCATTTCTTTTCTGCTTGCGCATCCTTGGGAAAGGAGGAAAGACCCAGTTGTGCACCATGCACTTGGTCCTAAGTCTGTACTCCACTTGTCAGGAGGGTTTGGTGGAGCCTGAGCCTTTGCTTTGCCAGTGGGAGACACACGGGGCTTTAGCCCAGCACGTAGCATCTTGGATTATTGGTCATTGGGGTTTTGTCCTCTTCCTTAGCCACCACGGCAGCTACCAGGCTGGTATTCTGGCCGAGCCCTGGTAAGTTCATTCATAACTGAGAGCAGACTCTGTGTTTAGACCTAATTTTTGTGAGGGGTTAGACAAGATGATCTCTCAGATCATTCTTTCTCATATGGGGCCTGCTCCCTACACCTTTCCCTGGGGCTGCTTGCAGGGTCCTTTTGTTTTCCGTAGGTAAAGCACCCTGCCACTGCCCTTTCTGGTGGAGGAGCTCAAGTGTCCATGTTGTGGGGCCTGAAATCACCCTGACCCTGGAGATATCCCTTCTCTGTGCCTCATTTAGATCATTCTTTCTCATATGGGGCCTGTCCCTACACCTTTCCCTGGGGCTGCTCGCAGGGTCCTTTTGTTTTCTGTAGGCAAAGCACCCTGCCACTGCCCTGTCTGGTGGAGGAGCTCAAGTGTCCATGTTGTGGGGCCTGAAATCACCCTGACCCTGGAGATATCCTTTCTCTGTGCCTCATTTCCTTGGGAAAAATGGCGGTTCTTCCCTTTCCCTCCCGCTTTGAGGGTGGACAGTGCTGCATAGTGTGTCTGCTCTGCAGGTTGGACCCGCATGCAGATTTCACAGCGTGAGCCCTGGGGCCCCCTCTGCCCCTCCAAAAATGAGGCTTGGATTCACGCGCTACAGGCAGCACTGCAGCTTCCTTCTTGTTTCTGGACGTTGCTGCTGGCCCCGGAAATGCTGCTGCTCGGCTGGGTCTGCTTTGCCCTTGCGCTGAGGAGATGGCACCACAAGCTGGCTGTGTGCTTTGTGCCCTCCTAGTGCTTGTCCCCACCATCCTGCTGAGCAGCCCCATGGGACACAGCAAAGACAGGGCCAAGGTGGAGGCCACTGCAGTCCCTGCAGCCCATGGGGCTGTGTTTCGTGATCCAACTGTCTGCTTTTTCCTCCCCACAGCAGTCCTCTCCGTCCGTGTACACTGGCACTGGAGCTCCGCCATCACCCGCCTGCCCCTCGGCCCTCAACCCCGCCCTCAGGGGCCCATTCCATGCTGCAGAGA